CTCTTCAAGGAATGAAAGAAAGTAATCTTGAGGGGGACTGAACTGCAGATGGGAGATGGAAATGTCATCTAGCATTGAAATTTACAGTTTCTTAAACCAGTAGTCACCACTTCCCTTCCCAATAATTTTTAACAAGAGTTTAAAAAAAAAAAAGAAAGTGTTTGATTTGGCTCTTAGTTTTCCTCGATGTGAAAGCTTGTCTCGTAGAGGTTCTAACAGGCACCAAAACGAGAATTAAGAAGGGGTGGGGGCAGAATAATCGCTGAAGGGGGTCATTGGCTACCAGGAAACCCAGAAGTAGCTGTGTTCTACCAGACATTCTTGCAAGGTTCTAAGGATGGTTAACTTAATTGTGATTTAAAAAAACATTTTATTGCCAATATTTTGCTCTTTGGAGAGCAGTGACTAAGATTACATTTTGTTAATGTTTGTGGTGAGCAGAATCATTGAGCATTTTCTGCCTTGTAAAAACGCTGTGGCTCCCAGGAATCTTCAGTGTCAGTGAAGCGAACTGTCACTCTCAGTCAGGGTCTCCTTTCAATTAACTATGATAAATTGATGTCTATTGAATATCTTTTATGTGGAGGCACTGTGCTCGAAGTTTTCACATGCATTAAAAACAAAAAGCCAAAAAATGAATTCTTACAATAACACTAAAGACATTATTAACCCCATTTTGCATGTATAAAAAAATGGATGTAAGAAAAAAAACTGTCCTTTTTACTTTATTGATATTTAAAAAATAATTTCCACTTTTATTTTAGATTCAGAAGGTACATGTGCAAGTTTGTTACATGGGCATGTTGCATGATGCTGAGGTTTTGGACCATTTGGTATAAATGGTTCCATCACCCAGGTAGTGAGTATAGCACCCAGTCGGCAGTTTTAAAGTCCTTCCTTTCCTTCTACTTCACTCTGGTGGTCTCCAGTGTCTATTATTGGTATCTTTATGTCCATGAGTGCCTAATACTTAATTTTCACTTATAAGTGAGAACATGAGGTATTTGGTTTTCTGTTCCTGCATTAATTCACTAAGAATAATGGCCTCCAGCTGCATCCACGTTGTCACAAAGAACATGATTTCATTCCTTTTTATGGCTGCCTAGTATTCCACGGTGTATGTCTACCACACGTTCTCTATCCTATCTACCATTAATGGGCACCTAAGTTGACTCTATGTCTTTGCTATTGTGAATAGTGCTGTGATGAACATACATGTGTCTTTTGGGTAGAACATAGATTTTTCTACAAAAGAAATTTTAAAACTTGCTCAGAAACTAGCAGTTAAGTCTGACTTTCACGTTCTTTATACTATTCCACCATGTTCACCCTTGCCTGATAACATTGCTGTGCATTACCCCTCTCTTCTTCATTGTAAATTGGTTTCAAATTTGGAGGTTCTGATTCTTTGGTAGTAGCTTCCTACAGTGCTATTTTGAAGGCACACTGGTTACAGTGGGAGAGATATACAGATTAGCTAGATAGATTAATGATGTCTGCTGTGGGGATGGGGTCAGAGAAGAACAACATGCATGGCTAGTATTCCCTAGTCTTTGTCCAGCCTCAAACGATGTCTCTACTGATGGTATCATGTCACAGGTAGTTATGAAGGCTTGGTGAGACAGTACATGACCAATTGTTATTTGGAAGATGGTTCCAGAAGAAGGACAGAAGTGAATGAAGAGGATATTCCTGGCTGGAAAACTTGATAAAATTGTTGAAAAGGGAATTGAGTAATATTTTTGTCTTTGATTACCCTATTAGTGAAAATAGCTAATGAAGTCTCCCCAGATAACTGAACATTTTACTTAATTTCATTTCTAAGGAAACACTTTTAACCTGCCTCTGGAAAAAACTATGTTTGCTCATAAATAACATTCTTAAAGCCATTTGCCTCCAGTAAACTCTTAATTTTTTTGCCAGAGAATTCTTACTAAATCAGGGTTTTCTTGCTGGTCCTCCAGTAACTGGGAGGAGCCACTGGGATGCCTTGCTTTTTGGCTGCTTCTGGCCTTGGCTTCCTGTTCTCCACAGCAGAGTTGAGGAAATCCGCAGGATGCCTGCTACCAGGGGACAGGGTGACTCAGGAGGAAAGACTCCACCTAAAATAGTCGTGGTATGCAGTCTCTGAGTCACTTCACTTTGAAATCAGTTAATATAAGATCCTGGAATTAGCCCCACAGGTGATGGGAAGTGGGGAAGAAGGAAATATCTGGAAAAAAGTTTATCCAAAAGAAAAATTGTCCATGAATATGACTTTTTAACAGCAGAAAAGGTTAATATTCAGGGAGAAATCTCACCTTCAGAGTTTAAAGTAGATAAACTGTGATTTCTTCCATGGAGCATGGGCATAAAGCACTGGTCTGGGTCCAATTTAGGGACCCACTGGGAGTGAATGTTTGCTTAAAAACACATTAGAAAAGCAATGGCAGGGCAGCTGTGTAAACAGAAGTGTGCTGTTTTGATGCAGTTTTCCTGAATTTTGTATTTATAATCCTTTCTCTAGAATTATCTGGCCAAACTGTTCATAGTGCCAATAGATTCCAGGTTTATCTCTAATTAATGATAAACATTAAGCTTTTTCCCTACTGAGACAGGGAGAAGAGTATTCCTATTTCTATTCAAAGTTCTCCAAAGCAGCTTCCTGTATTTGAAATGTCCTCTCAGACCATTGTTGAATCCTCCCTTTACTCCCTTCTGATTAGCTCCCTGCGTCGTAGAATTGATTTATTTATTGAAGCTCTTCATAGTAGGGGAGCAAGAAACTGTATTCAGTCATTTATTTTTAAAACATGTATTGAACATTTACATGAAGACACATGATGACTGATGCAAAGAACACTCATTCCCTCAAAATGCTCAGAGTCTAGTTGAGGAAATAAAAAAGTTAAACAACAAATTTGTAATACAAAGTGTTGAATATCCAATAGATTTAACCATAGGCTTTTTGAAAGACACAGGAACCTTGAATGGAGCTGGAGTTCAAGTGAGATTTCTTGGAAGTCTGGGGGACAAAACAGAGTCTTCAAGGTTAAGATGCAAGTATCTGGGTAAACTGAGCCTCAATCAAAGCTAACTGTTGCCAGGTGTGGTGGCTCATTCCTGTAATTGCAACACTTTGGGAGACTGAGGCAGGAGGATCACTTGAGTCCAGGAGTTAGAGACCAGTCTGAACAACATAGCGAGACCTTGTCTCTGTATGAAATTTTTAAAAATTAGCCAGTCATGGTGGCACATGTCTGTAGTCCCAACTATTTGGGAGGCTGAGGTTAGAGGATCGCTTGAGCCTGGGAGGATGAGTCTGCAGTGAGCCGTGATTGTGCCACTGTATTTCAACCAGGGTGACAGAGTGAGATCCTTTCACACACAAATAATAAATAAATAAAAATAAACTAAAAAAGCTAGATATTCACTGGTAGATAAACGCAGTGTGAAACTTGATTGGATATTGGTTTAGAAAAAACATGGTAAGACACATTTTGGGGATGATTGGAAAAATATGAATGTATGAATGTAGACAGTATTAGACAATATAGAAGGTTGTTATTAACTTGGATGTAATGATGGTGTTATGAAGGAGTTGCTCTAAATTTTAGGAGACACATACACCTTCCCTGAAATGGTTTAGCAAAAGAATAAGGAGAAGGAGGAGGAAGAGGAGGAGAAGAAGAGTGGTAGATAGATAAATGAAGCAAATGTGACAAAATATTAACAATTGTTGAACTTAAATCTGAATGTTCATTGTACTAGTTTTTCCACTTTCCTGAAATTTTCGTAAAAAGTAGTTGCAACAGAGAACCTAGCAGACAGTTACATGAATGACAATGTTTTCCAGAATTCAGAGGGTAATTTCATCTTGGGAATACAAAGAAGAAAATAAATGTTTTGTCCAAACTACTGCACTTGCCAGCACAGGCTCACTGTGTTAGAAAAGAGTGGCACCCGCTGTAACTTGGAGCCAATTAAGCTTAGCTGTGTCCAGCTGCTTGTGGGATGCGAGAGATGTGATTGGGAGGGTGGGTGAGGGTGGAGCTCAGAGCTTGAAGGATCTTCTCTATGTCATGCTGAGTAATTTGGACTTTATCCTGAGGATGTCAGAGACACTAAGGAGTTGAGGGCATTTTTAGAGACTCATTCTGGTTTTGGTTTGAAAGACGGATTAGAGTTTGGAAGGAATAGGACTAAGAGATCAGTCCAGAGACAACTACAGTGGTTCCATCAGAGATAAAGGCCAAATGCTGATGTGAAGGGGGAGCAACAGAAATTCTCATTCATTGCTGGTGGGAATGCAAAATGGTACAGACACTTTGGAAGGTAGTGTGGCAGTTTTGTTTTTGTTTTTTGTTTGTTTGTTTTTGTTTTGTTTATTTATTTATTTTACAAACGTAGACATGCACATACCATATAATTCAGCAGTTCCACTCCTAGATTTTTATTAATGAAAAATGAAAATATGTTCACATAAAGACCTATAGAGGACTATTTAGAGTAGCTTTATTCATAATCACCAAAAACTGGAAGCATTGACTGGCAAATACTTAAATAAATTATACATTAATAAATGGAATACTTATCAATAAAAACGAAAGAACTGCTGATACTACAACATGGATAAATCTCAAAAGCTTTATGCTAAGTGAAAGAAGTCAGACTACATACTAAGTTACTTCATTCATATGACATTCTGAAAAAGACAAAGCTGTTGGAGCAGAAATCAGTTACGAAGAGCTGGGGTAGGGGAAGCAGTTGATGACAAAGGGGTACATAGAATTTGCTGGGGTCATGGAAATACTTTCTACAGTATCTTTCTGGTGGTAGTTACACAACTGTATACATTTATCAAAACCATGTACCTATAAGTGTAAATTTTACTCAATGGAAACATTCTATAGGAAAAGTGAAAGATGTTTTAGTGATCAAAAGATGGATACACTAATAAAAGAAGTAGCCATATGAGAGAATAGCACGTGATACAGCCAAGTGACTACCGCAAGGACGAAATGCTGAACCAAGTTACATCTTGGAGTAATTCAGAATGTACTAAAATATTTTTGTCCATTTTCATGTTGTTACATTAGAGGCTACTGTGATCTGAGTGTTGGTATTCCCCCTAAATTCATATGTTGAAACCTAACTCACAGTGCAATAATATGAAGAGGTGGGGCCTTTAGAGGGTGATTAAGTCATGAGGGCTCTGCCTCATGAATTGAATTAATGCCCTTATAAAAGAGGTTGAAGGGAGCTGCCTTGCCCTCCTGCCACATGAGGACACATAGAAGGTGCCATCCATGGAGCAGAGAACAGCTCTCACCAGATACTGAATATGCTGATGTCTTGATCGTGGACTTTCCAGATTCTAGAACTGTGAGAAATAAATTTCTGTTCTTTGTAAATTAGTGGGTTTAAAATATTTTGTGGCGTTCCGCGCCCGGCGGGAAACCCCTTCGCATGGCAGCGGGTTCCGGTTCGGACTTTGTAACTTTGCTAAAGTCAGTGATGTGAAAAGACTTGAAATGGATTTTATTTTCCAGGCAAGGACATTTGGACCGATCTTTTACATGTTCCACAAGAAGTGCAGCTTATAATCCAAGCTATTATTCAGATAATCCTTCCTCAGACAGTTTTCTTGGCTCAGGCGACTTAAGAACCTTTGGCCAGAGTGCAAATGGCCAATGGAGAAATTCTACTCCATCATCAAGCTCATCTTTACAGAAATCAAGAAACAGCCGAAGTCTTTACCTCGAAACCCAAAAGACCTCAAGTGGATTGATTATCAAACATTTTTGCGGGAAAGTCAAACCATCACTGCCATGTATCTGCATATGAAAAATCTTTCCCTATTAAACCTGTTCCACGTCCGTCTTGGAGTGGTTCATGTCTTCGAAGCCTTTTGAGCCCCAAGAAAACTCAGAGGCGACATGTTAGTACAGCAGAAGAGACAGTTCAAGAGGAAGAAAGAGGGATTTACAGACAGCTGCTACAGATGGTCACAGGGAAACAGTTTTCTATAGCCAAACCTACCACACCTTTTCCTTTACACCTGTCTCGATGTCTTAGTTCCAGTAAAAATACTTTGAAAGACTCACTATTTAAAAATGGAAACTCTTGTGCATCTCAGATCATTGGCTCTGATACTTCATCATCTGGATCTGCCAGCATTTTAACTAACCAGGAACAGCTGTCCCACAGTGTATATTCCCTCTCTTCTTATACCCCAGATGTTGTTGCATTTGGATCCAAAGATTCTGATACTCTTCATCAACCCCATCATCACCACTCTGCTCCACATCAGCCAGATAACTTAGCAGCTTCAAATACACAATCTGAAGGATCAGACTCTGTGATTTTACTGAAAGTGAAAGATTCCCAGACTCCAACTCCCAGTTCTACTTTCTTCCAGGCAGAGCTGTGGATCAAAGAATTAACTAGTGTTTATGATTCTCGAGCACGAGAAAGATTGCGCCACGTTGAAGAACAGAAAGCATTAGCCTTACAGTTTCAAAACCAGGAAATGGAGAAAGAAATAAAGAATGTATTTCGTAATGGGAATCAGGATGAAGTTCTCAGTGAAGCATTTCGCCTGACCATTACACGCAAAGATATTCAAACTCTAAACCATCTGAATTGGCTCAATGATGAGATCATCAATTTCTACATGAATATGCTGATGGAGCGAAGTAAAGAGAAGGGCTTGCCAAGTGTGCATTTCTTCACTAAATTAAAAATGGCTAGTTATCAGGCAGTGAAATGTTGGACAAAGAAAGTAGATGTATTTTCTGTTGACATTCTTTTGGTGCCTATTCACCTGGGAGTGCACTGGTGTCTAGCTGTTGTGGACTTTAGAAAGAAGAATATTACTTAGTATGACTCTATGGGTGGGATAAACAATGAAGCCTGCAGAATTCTCTTGCAATACCTAAAGCAAGAAAGCATTGACAAGAAAAGGAAAGAGTCTGACACCGATGGCTGGCAGCTCTTCAGCAAGAAAAGCCAGGAAATTCCACAGCAGACGAATGGAAGTGACTGTGGGATGTTTGCCTGCAAATATGCTAACTGTATTACCAAAGACAGACCAATCAACTTCACACAGCAACACATGCCATACTTCCCGAAGCAGATGGTCTGGGAGATCCTCCACCGAAAACTCTTGTGAAGACTGTCTCAGTTAGCAGACCTTGACCATGTGGGGGACCAGCTCTTTGTTGTCTACAGTCAGAGACCTTGGAAACAGCTGCTCCCAGTCCTCTGTTCTTGTAGCACCCTTGATCCTGGACCAGGCCCTGGTGAGATGCATTCACAAGCACATCTGCCTTTCCTTTTGTATCTCAGATACTATTTTTGCAAAGAAACTTTGGTGCTGTGAAAGGGGTGAGGGACATCCCTAATCTGAAGAGAGAGACTGCTTTACACTTCTTCGGTTCTGCCATCTTGTTTTCAAAGGGCTCCAGCCTCACTCAGTCCCTAATTACGGGACTGAGAAAAGCTTGGAAAGAATCTTGGTTTCATATAAATTCTTGTTGTTAGGCCTTACTAAGAAGTAGGAAAGGGCATGGGCAAAAGGTAGGGATAAAAACCACCAGCATATACATGGACATACACACACACCCACACACAGTTTTCATGATGTATAGTCAGGAATGTGACTGTAAACTGGATTTTGGGGCACAGGCATAAGTCCCCTTCTCCAGGACCTTTCCTATTTATATGGCCCTATACAAAATCCACCTGCTTTTATACGTAACTATTTTATCATCTGTAGCTTCATCCTATCTGGAGGCACAGCACATGAGCCCTGGACAGGTCCCAAAGTTCCAAGCAGTCCTTTCCTTAAAAGCAGGGGTTTGCATGTGCTACCAACACACGATATGGGGAAGACCCACCCAGGGAGCAGTTTCAGTGGCGCAACAAAGCACCACTTTTACTGTTGCCTGCTTCTGACCAAGAAGAAGAAGGACCTTAGTATTTAGCATAAAATTCCAGCGTTGGATGAATGCAGGTCTAGTTTGGTCTGTGGCTAGTTTAAATATGTTTCTAACTACAGAGAACTTCATATGTATACATATATACACATATATATATATGTATAAAATTTCACAGGGATATGCTTTTTTTTTTCTTTTTTAAAGACTGAATGTGTTCACCTTTTAGCCTGTAAATTTATTTCCATTTTCCAAATTCCAGCACACAGAGATCCCAGCCCCTATGAGTAGGGTGTTTGTGGACTACCTAATGGAATATTTTGAGGCCTGGATGAACTTTGCCATATGGGTAGAGGTTACAGAGGGGGATGATATTTTCAGCTAAAAAAAAATGGGTGGAATTTGGACTGATCAACTTGAGATTTTAAAACTGCTATTCCTTTTCTTTCTAGCATCTCTCCCCACCCTCTGAGAGCTCCTCAGGTTTAGATAGTGAAGTGATCCAATGCCAGTGTCATTTTGTACTTAAGTTCCAAAGTAGGAAGATTTTATACTTTTTTCTGTATTGTAATAGGTAGTTTTGTATGAAATCTTTTCTCCTCTCCCCTTGTACCGCATTCTTTCCAGCATTGTGCTTTTTCCCTGGGCTTATTTGAAAATTTTACTGTTTTATACAAGCTTGTTTAGTACATTTTTCTATGTTTTACCACAAGTTACAATTTGAAAAGAAAACTATTTTTTTTAAATATTCAAAAAAAATATTTTGTTATAGTAACTTGAATGGAGGCATAGGCCAATTTGGCACAAGTATTATTAACTTTAAATGTATATAACTTTAAAAAGCATGTAAAGGATTCTCAAGAAGAAATTTGTGTTCTAGGATCACACAGAGTTAAGTTTCTCTGTGTGTATATACGCATGGGCATGCCTGTCTTGAAGCACTTCCTTGGGATATATTTTTCATTGATTTTATATGTTCTTTAAACAATTAAAATGTATAAAAATGCTTTCTTAATTCTAATCAATAAAAAATACTACACATCCATCTTTTATAAATGAGGAACACCTATAATATGGTGGTGGCACTGAACGTGGAGATAATTTAAGAGTAGAATCTTTTACGGGAAGAATTTTTCAGATAAGATATGGTTGCACATGGGCATACAAACCTATCAAATAAGAATTCTAATGTGGAAGGAAAGGACTGGAAATCTATCTCCCCATCCATAGAAAACTGGTGAAATAGATTATGGAATTATTTCTGCAATGAACTACTATACGATTGTTAAAAATGAGATAAATGTATTTTTGCTGATATGCAATGATAGCTAAGTTTAAAAGCAAACAAACAAACAAACAGGTGACTGGGCACAGTAGCTGACACCTGTAACCCTAGCACTTTGGGAGACGGAAGTGGGACAATCACTGGAGCCCAAAAGTTCGAGACCAGTCTGGGCAATGTAACCAGACCCTGACTCTACAAAGGATTTAAAAATTAGCTGACCATGGTGGCAAACACCTGTAATCCAAGCTACTCAGAAGACTGAGGCAAAAGGATGGCTTGAGCCCAGGAGTTCGAGGTTGCAATGACAGAAAGAGACCCTGTTTTCAAAAAATAAAAATAAAAAGACTGTGTATAAAGTGTTCCCATTACATAACAAAAGCGTGTGTATACACATAGACACTTGCATAGGCATAAAAGATCTCTGGAAGACTACAATAGGAAGCTACTGCATTAGTCAGGATCCATTCAGGGACAGAAACCACAAATAATTTGAATACAGAAGGTTTAATATGAAGAATGATTATTTACAGGGAATTTGCTAAAAAGGAACACTAAGAGAACTCTGAACAATACCCTAGGGCTAACAAAGAGTACCCAAGGAAGAAATGAGCTTGGAAGGGGTGTCCCTCAAGGTTGGATCCAGACTTCCTGGGAGAAGGTGCAGTCCTCTGGATGTGCATTTTGCTGGACTGCTCCAGGTCAGAGCTGATTCCCAGTTGACAAGTTGGGAGTAATAAGCCAGGGCTAGCGAGGTGCAAATTCCCCCACGGGGGAACCAGCAGGCTGAGGCTGGCAGGCAAGAAATCAGTGGCTGAGGGGTGCTGACAAAATTCATGGGGAAATTGCCCATGGGGAGTGCTGTTGAACTTGTGGGAAACTGGTTGGGCCACTGTGGGGACACACTGGAAAGCTTCCAGGATGCTGCTGCAGGACCGTTGAGAAACTGGTCACAGGGAAACCAGCTGGCGCACCCACCAAACCTCTTGGTGTGAGCTCCATCACTGCGTCGCTCACATACCAGCCCAGCACCACAGGAGCAAGAGCAGAAGGTCTACCAGAATCAGGAATGAAGAGAATCCCCTTTTTCCTTCCAGGGTCCCTCCAGGCCTTCTAGTGGCAAAACTTAACACTGTGTCAGCTGGCAAAGGAAAGATGTTTTAGTATCTCAAGCAGAGAAACGAAGGGTGTGTTTGGCACAGAAAGGCAATAGGTTCATAAATGCCGCAGCTGGTAGCAGTCGTATCTAGGGAGAAAAACTGGTTGATGAGGCTCAGATGTGAGAGAGAAACTTACTTTTCACTGTAAATCTTTGTACTGCTTGATTTGTGGGAAAAACATTGAGAAATTTCCTTACTGCATCAAGTATGAGTTTCATGCTTCAGAATAATAATGACACTGCTGATAGTAAATGACAGCCATTGTTAAATGCTTTTGGTATATTAACTCACCAAATTTTTTTTCCCGGTTTTGACTATTAGACCCAATTTTTACACAGGAAGAAATCGAGGCACAAAGAGGTTAAATAACGTGCCAAAGGTTCGCAAGCAAGTGAGAGTTATAACTATGATAATCTGGCTGCAGAATCTGTGCTCTTGACCACTACATACCCTGTATTAATTTACTGCATCTATCAGTGTTTACTGTGGCATAACACACAACAAATGAATGGAGTGATAGTCATTAACACTAATCATCTGATATTTCCAAATCATTGACTCCCCCTAGGGGTGAGTTGGGTCATGTGATTAATGAGCCTTAGGTGTCATTTGCAGTCAAGCATTTTAATTGTGAGAGACTCTCCATGGCTGGTTTTTGTGTCTTGCATGGAGAATGGCGATGTTAGAGATGACTCTACAATTGTAGTATGATGGACAGACTTTCTATATTGACTCTAATAGGCATATCACATAAGCAAGAAATAAACCTTTGATTTTCTAAGCCCTTGCTATTTTGATACTGCTGCTTACTGAAGCAAAATCTAGCTCATTTTGCTGATATAAATCATGTGTTTCTGATTAGAGTTAAATAGAAAAACATACGTTTTTAAAAATTTCAAAAATGTAAATATATTACTTTATTCTAAAATGTTTCTCCTGAAAATTTTGTACTTTGAAAAACTGAAGGAATAATACAATGATCACCATTTATCTTTCAACCAGATTCATCAATTGTTCATATTTTATCCTCTTTATCTTTCTCACATAATTTCTTTCTGAACCATCTGAAAGTTGTAGACATCGTGAAACTTCACTAAAAAAAACTTCATAGGCACCTTCTAAAACCAAGAACATTCTTCTACATGGCCACATTGAAAATGGAAAATCTTGATTCCTTATTGAATTAGCATATTTTAAATTCTACAATGTACATAAAATAGCTTTAGAATTCCAATACCAATATAACTATAAATTATATATCTATGAAGTAAAGTTTAGATTTCTTGTGGTCCCTTTTTTTCTTTAGAATATAAAGACACTAAGCATGGGTCATCAGGCTATTGTGTTTGGTATGGAAAAGGGTAATTCAGGTAACTTTTGGGTTTATTTTTACTTTTCAGATATTAAAAATGGAATCTCGTTATGTTGCCCAGGCTGGTCTCAAATTTCTGGCCTCGAGTAATCCTCCCTTCTCAGCCTCCTGAGTAGCCAGCACTACAGGCATGAGCCACCATGTCCAGCTCTCAAGTAACTTTGAAAACAGTACTCTGACTATATATTCTTAGTAAGTTGTGTTCTAAGGACAAAGGGGTCTTGCAAAGAAATCTTGATAATAATTTGATATAGACATTCATTTGTTTTCTTTTATATTCTCCTTTAGGGTTTGCTTTATAAAATCTTTTAATTAGATGAATCACTTTTACTTGGTTTGACAGTCAGAACAATATAAAAAGGTATATTTAAAGAAGTGCCACTCCCATCCTTTGCTTCCATTCTGTTCCCACCCTCCTCCATAAGTAGATATTTTCATTAGTCTCTGTTTTATCCTTTTTGTTTCTTTTTGTTTGTTTGTTTTGCAAAAATAAGCACACACACACACATTTCTCCTTATTTTCCACACAGTAGTGTCCTATATATGTTCTCTTTTTATTTTTCACTTAATAACATTTCCCAGAAGTCACTGCATATTAGTTTATAAAAATCTTGTTGTTGGTCAGGTGAGGTGGCTCATGCCTGTAATCCCAGCACTTTGGGAGGCCAAGGCAGGTGGATTACTTGAGGTCAGGAGTTCAAGACCAGCCTGGCCAACATGGTGATATCCCATCTCTACTAAAAATACAAAAATTAGCCGGATGTGGTGGCATATACCTGTAATCCCAGCTACTGGGGAAGCTGAGGCAGGAGAATGGCTTGAACCCAGGAGGCGGAGGTTGCAGTGAGCCGAGATTGCACCACTGCACTCCAGCCTGGGCAACAGAGTGAAACTCCATTTCAAAAAACAAACCAACAACAACAAAAAACTTGTTGCTATTGTTATTGTGTCTGCATAGTACTCCATCATGTAGCTGTGCCACAGTTTAATTTATTAGTGGCAGCTTGGATTGCTTCCAGTATTTCACAATACAAATGATATTGTGATGAAAAATTTTGTATGAGTATTCTTTCATATTTGTGGAGATGTACCTTCAAGGTAGTTTCCCAGAAGTGCATTTTCTGGGTGGAAAGGTAAATAACCATAATCATAACTGTTAGATATTTCCCAGTTTCCTCCATCAGGGATTGTATCATTCTGCATTTCCACCAGCATTATATGACAGTGCTTGGTTCCCCCCAACCTCACCAACAAAGTGTTCTCAAGTGCTTGAATTATTGTCAGTGTAATAAATAATAAATGATATCTCTATGTACTTTTAATTTACATTTTTCTTATTATCAGTAAAGTTGAGCATCTTTTTACGTGGTTAAGGGCCATTTATATATCTCTTTCTGTGAACTGTTTATGATTGTGTCAATTTTTCCATCAGGTTTTTAAATTTTATTCTTTTGATTTTTAGTCACTCTTTATATATTAAAGAGATTAGTCCTTTGCAATATAAGTTACAAGTATTTTTACTAGTATTTCTTTGTCTTTTGACTTTGTTTATGATGTATGCCTT